CGTGTGAATGGGTATCTTAATTCTTTATTCAATAATCATGAGAGGACTTCCGTCAAGTTGGAGGCATAGGTGGACGCACCATACCTCCACGCACAACCAAGATTGGAACAACAACAATTTAGAGGCAGAATAACACCCAGAACTGATAGAGAATTTATCTGAATGGAAGTCAGACAGCCAAGAAGTTGAAATAGATCCGTTCATCAAGACCGGTAGGAGGGGCGGAGGCAGCAGCCAGGCATGGGTCGTGGTGCAGAGAGCAGAGAGAGTTGGGCACATAAGGCAACCGGGGGCATGTAAGGCATCTGGGGCGTGCAAGATAGCAGCGGGTGGACCCTGAGTACCCAAGTGACAGCTGGCAGACCCAGCGAGTCAGCGATTGTGGAGCAGGGCAGAGCATGCAACCCAGGATTCCAGAGAAGGGACTGAGGTCCCACGGAGAACGGAGCTACCGCCATTGTTCCCTCCCGACCCTGCCCCCACATACAACATCACAATGTCACAATCTAGCAACTGGGGTGCCCAGCCCCGGTGAACACTTAAGGCTCTGCCCCTCACTGTAACAGGAGCGACCAGACCAAAAAGAGAGAGAGAGAGAGAGAGAGAGAGAGAGAGGGAGAGAAATGGCTCAAACAGAAGAACAAATCAATGCCCTAGGACTCATTCTTTTAAGTGACCGAGAGATGGCCAATCTATCAGATGCACAGTTCAAAATACTGGTGTCAGGAAGCTCACAGAATTGGTTGATTTGGGGCTCAAATTAGATGAACAAATGCAGGTTACCATAAAAGAAATGAAGGAAAATGTACAGGGAACCAATAGTGATGGGAAGGAAACTGGGACTCAAAACAATAGAGTGGACCAGAAGGAAGAAAGAAACAACCAAACAGGAAAGAATGGAGAAATAAGAATTCAAAAAAACAAGGAGAAGCTCAGGAACCTCCAGGACATCTTTAAACGTTCCAATATCTGAATTATAGGGGTACCAGAAGGGGAAGAGGAAAAGCAACATATTGAATATGTATTTGAACAAATAATAAAGGACAACTTCCCATTCTGACAAAGGAAATAGACTTCCAGGAAATCCAGGAAGCTCATAGAGCCCCAAAGAAGTTGGACCCAAGAAGAAACACACCAAGGCACATCATAATTACATTAGCCAAGGTAAAAATGAAGGAGAGAATCCTAGAAGCAGCAAGATATAAGGGGACAGTAACCTACAAAGGAGTTCCTATCAGACTGTCAGCTGATTTCTCAAAAGAGACCTTATAGGCAAGAAGGGGCTGGAAAGAAGTATTCCAAGTCATGAAAGACAAGGACCTATATCCCATACTACCCTATCCAGCAAAGCTTTCATTTAGAATGAAAGGGCAGATAAAGTGCTTCTCAGATAAGGTCAAGTTCAAGGAGTTCATCATCACCAAGTCCTTATTTTATGAAATGTTAAAGGGACTTATCTAAGAAAAGAAGATTAAAAAACCATGTATAGTAAAAGGACAGCAAACTCACAATTATTAACAACCACACCTAAAGCAAAACCAAAAGAAACTAAGCAATCAACTAGAACAGGAACAGAACCACAGAAATGGAGATCACATGGAGGGTTATCAACAGGGGAGTGGGAGAAGGAGAGAGGGGGAAAAGGTACAGAGAATAAGTAGCATTGTAGGTTGAAAATAGATAGGGGAAGGTAAGAATAGTATGAGAAATGTAGAAGCTAAAGAACTTATAAGTATGATACATGGACATGAACTAAAGGGGGGGATGTGGGTGGGAGAGGGTATAAAGGGTAGAGGGGAGTGAAGGGGGAAATGGGACAACTGTAATAGCATAATCAATAAAATATATTTTAAAAAATAATCATGAGAAAGCTTTTTAAAAATTTTCTCCCAGTGCAACAGAAATAATCTTGACTTCTGCCACTAACACTGTGCCTACAAGATAATTTCAGAACGTTTCGTCATCTGAGAGCAAAAACAGCATCTGCAAAGTCCAGCTGGCCAAACACAGACCCAGAGTCAAACTCCATGACTGTCATGGCGCTTTACAGTCCTGACATCTTGCACTCAAATAAGCTTCTGTGACTTCACAGAGATACAACCAGGACAGACCCTGAGGGGCTTCTACTGAATGTGCCCAACACCCCAAAACAAGACAGCTGTGGGAATGTTAACACTGTGCCTCTTTAAGTTTCATGGTTTTAATCAGCTAGTGAGAATCCAAGAGAGACCCCAGCTCCTTTGACTATCTCAGACCACTATCCAAGCAGTGCTTCTCAGACTGGCCTGGGCGCCACAGGGAGTGAGCTCCCAGCTTCCTTCTCTCTTTCTGGACACTGTGTGTGTGTTGGTGTGCGTCGCCCGAACAAGAGGTGGGAGGTACCGTGTGCACATGAAGGGCCAGAAGGTCTCCTCCTTCTTCTCACAGAGAAGGCATGAGTCTTATGTGGAATCTTAAGTAAAGCTGTGAATTTTCAAGATTTAGATTCAGAACAAACTTCCTCAAAATCAGAATCATTCATTTATCAACGAAATCACTCTCACTTTAAGGCTTCCAAAAATATCAATATCAGTAACTTACTGAAAACTAATTTGCAAAGCAAGTTTGTGTGTGTAGTGAAGAAAATAATTTAGTGTGGCAAAAGTTGTTTTCTTAGAAACAGAAAGTTATTCCTATTTTAAAATAAGGATAATTAATATAAAACAAGCAAATCATTCATATTCTGTGTCTTCTATTATGCTTTGAAAATATATTGAAATGGCCCTGGCTGGTGTGGCTCAGTGGATTGAGTGCTGGCCTGTGAACCAAAGGGTTGCCAGTTTGATTCCCAGTCAGGGCACATGCCTGGGTTGTGGGCCAGGTCCCCAGTGGAGGGGGTGTGGGGGGCAACCACACATTGATGTTTCTTTCCCTCTCTTTTTCCCTCCCTTCCCCTCTCTCTAAAAATAGATAAATAAAATCTTTATTAAAAAAAGAAAATACATTGAAATGTTTAGAAAAATCCAAACATCAGCCATGCCATGGAGAAGTTTCCCAGAGACTCTAGCAGGGAAAGTGCATCAGATAATTTGTCATAGGCAGGTCTAATGCACAAAACCCATGTGCCTTCCTTGAATTTTCTTGGGTATTTAATCATCTATACTAAGTTCATAAAGCAAAACCCAAGAAGACTCATCCAGGTGGCCCTGACCTTGATGTTACCTTGCAGGGTACTGGGCAGAGATGCTGTGTGTAAGGAGGCATGCCTGGAAAGGTCATGTTGAAGCAAGGCTCTGGGGCAGGTAAGAACCAAACACCTGCCAGCTGGCTGCATTGCTGCTCACGTGCCTGTTAGAATCTGAGGAGCTGGGCTTTTCTTCGAGCTTCCCAGGGTGGGAAGCTGGGAGAAGAAAGACTACATTAGAAAAGACCTCAGTAGCCACTCATGTCACTGCTTCATTCTACACATGAGGAAAGGAAGTCCCAGACGCAACAGACTTGGGACTGATGGTCGCCATGTTTTCTGTTCAAGGTTACACATGTGTTCCACCAGCAGGAACCCTGATTCTCAAAGACACAATATGGTCAGCCTTGTATTTTCAGGGCCACAAATTCAGACTTGAACAAAAGCCTCCTCCAAGAATCCCCGGGACTCTCCACATCTGGCCGACCTGACTCTCTCTGTGCCTTCAGGTAAATGCTTTGGGTGAGATGCCAGCTCCACTCTGGGGCTACAAGAACCAAGGACCAAAGCATAAGGCTGGGGTTAGAAGAGGGATGGGGCCATCAGGAAGCAGAGAGGAGGGGCCTGGGAGAGGGTAAGAGATCCAGACAGTCCTTGGAGTTAGACACAGTGACACAGTCCCACCAAACTGGCCCTCAGAAAGTGTATGTTCGACACTGAGTAAAAATATCCCAGTTTGTCTTCTCCCATGACGCAGTGCAACAGACCCTCCATGCTGCCATCCACGAGAGCTTCCCCCAACAGCTCCTGCTCCTGGTATTCTTCCTAAGCTTGCTTCCTCAAACGTTCAGTATCCTCAGAATGACAGTGATGGAGCCAGGTCAGAACGGCCTTTGTTGCACCAGAATTCTGAGCAGAGGGAGCCCGACTGCAGCTCAGAAACCTGCATGGAAGACCGGCCAAGCGCCGTCTGACAGACAGAGCAGTGCTCCGGAGCTGAAGATTGATGCGATCAATTTGGAAGCTTTTCTGCCTTCATTGTCTGGGTTATAGATATTGGTGATTTTTTTTTTTTGCCTCTAAGCCTTATGTTTCAAACTTCATATTTCCACAGTTATCACAGGCATCATTTCAAGTAACCCACAGAAAATAAGTCACTCTATGATAAGGTAGCATTTTGGAATATGTGGTCTGCTATGGGTCTTATTTCATTCAATTGCTTGGTTAGAGAATAAAAATCTTTAAAGCACAGTTATGCTCAAAATTAATAAATGCTTAAAAAGCCAGCAATCTAATTTTATATTTTAGCTAGTATCAAGAAGCACTAAATTGATCAATAAGCATAAAATTGATTGGTTAGTCAATTTCTTATTACTATTTTTAACTTTACTTTTATTGTTGACTCTATCACAGACACCCCCATTCCCCACCCCCTTTGCCCACTTCAGTAAGCATGTGATTTATTCTAAAAAACTGGACCTCCAGAGAGAGGTACCAAAAGGCAGGGGCCAGGCCCAGTTCTTGCCGCCGACCCCCCGGTGCCCCGCCCAGCACCTGGCACACAGACATTTCTTGGACAGGAGGATGGCTGCATGGGCAGGCGGCAACATGGAACAGAAGGAGCATTTTCTAGTCACCCCCTAAAATTAATTTCCACCTGAATTAACCAAAGGGCCTGTTTTGAAGGTTTAAATAGTGCATCTGCTAAACACAATGTGACCCAGAATTTTAACCAAAGTGGCCTTTTCCAGCTTCCCTCATCTAGTGCCCGGGGACAAATGGGAATGTCCGTAAGAACAATCAGGCAGAAGCAAACGTCACCATCCACACTCCTCACCTGCCATGTCGATGGCGAAAGGCCTGTCTGCTCTCCAGCCAGTGTACCAACCGACGACTTTGCCGTTTTCCACCAAGGGACGTTCGTAGCGTCGCCCGCCGACAAGGCCCACCGGCCAGACCGAGACCTTGCGTGTGGTTCGCATCTGTAAACAGGGGAAAGAGACTTGGTTTCAGCTTCCTTAGGGAACGGAACTTGAAGGGAGGACAAGAATGTGAGCCACGGAGAAGAAACGAGAAGGGGTGGGGTGTGTGCATTTCCAGAAGCTGAAGGCTTCCAGACAGAACCCTCTGCAGGCAGGGTGCTGCCCAGTCGCTGTCCATCTGTTCGGCCCTCGGCCACGTACCCCTCAGACCGAAACTAAGCCTGGGGTTCAGGGTTAAGGGAACTACAGTGGGTGTCAGTATCTGAACACCACTTAAGGGAAATTCACCTGACTCAAATATTTCCCATTTGTTTCAAAGTTGAATCTTTTAAACAACACGTTGTATCTTCAGAAGTGAGAAGGTTTAGTTCCCCTTTAGGAAACTTTATTACTCAGTAACAGTGAAATGTTTACTCAGAGGAGCCACAGGAGTTGCCTTTCTCTAAATTTTTCATTGTTTTAGACACACAGAAATCTTGGCTGGTGACATTAATAATGGGATCTACACACAGAACAGACACCAGCCATCCTCCCGGGTGACAGAAAGAAAAACATACCCTAAATCTGCCTGTCTTTTGCAGCAGTTGGGCCAGATTACAGAAGGAAGTGCTTTACCCAGGCAGCTGAAGTAGCTGGTCCTCTCCCAGCACACCTGTCATACCTAGCAGAGTTCTGGTTAAAGACAGCCCTCAACTGAAGGTTATCTGCTGGATTTCTTTAAGAGGAAAGACATGTTCACAAGAAAGCTCAATGATGCTGGGCAGCATTTTAGGGAAAAACCACCGTCTTCTTCCTGGCACGTGTTGAGCAGGGCTGTAGTCAGCCCACACAGCACTGTTGGCAAACTAGAAAAAGGTGCCCCTTTCTCTGGCAGATGCACTGCAAGCTGGGGCCCAGGGCTTACCCGCCCAGCGGTCAACACATCTGCAGGATTCCAACTCTGCTCACCCTCTCTGTAGGGTGTGTCCTAGGACAGGGCGTAACCTGCACAGCAGCATGAGGTGGCGCTGTTACTGAGGTGATTATAATCTCAGCACCAATGCTTTACCGCTCATTTCTATAGAACCGAGTCATGATCAATAACCAATGTTAAAAGAGTGATTATCAATCAAGGATATTTTTAATGAGAGAAAGGAAAATTATACATTTGGGAAAGATTTTCAAATGCAATTCAAATGAAAAGTCAAATTATAAAAGATGAAAAATAATTGGATGCTCCCATTTGCCAAGCATCCCAAGTTATTTATGTATTAATATTCCACCTCATTCCAACAAGAGGACTTAAGGGGGAGTGCTCCAAGTAACAAAGATCTCACTGGTCTTCCCCAAATCTGAAATTACTATTTTTAAAGTCTACCCATTTTCCAATTAATTAATCACTGTTGTGTTGTGCCAGTTCATTTTTTGAAAAAGTTCCACTGAAGTATAATGAAGGATATACTAGCTGAAATAAAGAATAACTTACAGGGAATCAATAGTACAGTAGATGAAGCCAAGAGTAAAATCAGCAGTTCAGAATGTAAGGAAGCAAAAAACACCCAATCAGAATGGGGGGGGGTGGAGAATGCAAAAATAAATAAATAAATAAATAAATAAAATGAAGACACTATATGGAGCCTCTGGGACAACTTCAAGTGTACCAACATCTGCATTATGAGGGGCCCAGAAGGAGAGCAAGAAATTGTAATCCTATTTGAAAATATAATGACCAAAAACTTCCCAAAGTTGGTGAAGGAAATAGACATGTAATCCAGGAAGCACAGAGACTCCCAAACAAGATGAACCCAAAGAGGCCCATACCAAGACACATCATAATTAAAATGCCAAAGGTTAAAGACAGAGAGAGAATCTTAAAAGCAGCAAGAGAACAGTAGTTATTTACCTACAAGGCAGTTCCTATAAGACTTTCAGCTGATTTCTCAAAAGAAACTTTGCAGGCCAGAGGGATTGGTAGGAAGTATTCAAAGTGATGAAAAGAGAGGACCTACAACCAAGATTCCTCTACCTAGCAAAGCTATCATTTAGAATCAAAGAACAGATGAAGAGCTTCCCAGATAGAAAAAGCTAAAGGAGTTCACCACCACCAAACTAGTAGTATTACATGAAATGTTAAAGGGTCTTCTTTAATATAAAGGAGGAGGAGAAGGAGATAAAAATATGAACAATAAAATGTCAATAAATAGCCCTGGCTGGTGTGGCTCAGTAGATTGAGCACCCACCTGTGAACTGAAAGATCGCTGGTTTGATTCTCAGTTAGGGCACATGCCTGGCTTGTGGGCCAGTTCCCCAGTTGGGGGTGTACAAGAGGCAACTGATCCATGTATCTCTCCCCCTTTTTCTCCCTCTCTTTCTCCCTCCAAAGAAAGGGGGGGAGAGATACATCAATGTGTGGTTGCCTCTCACGTGCCCCTCACTGGGGAGCTGGCCTGCAATCCAGGCATATGCCCTGATTGGGAATCGAACCGGCAACCCTTTGGTTTGCAGGCTGGCACTCAATCCACTGAGCCACACCAGCCAGAGCAGTAAATAAAATATTTTATTTATTTACTTTATTTACTTTGGCATTTTAATATTAAAAAATAAAAAATAAAATGTCAATAAGTACATATCTATCAACAATTGAATCTAAACAATAAAATAAACAGCAGAACTGAAACAGAATTATAGAGAGAGAATGTTTTGATGGTTGTCAGACGGGAGGAAGGTTGGGGGGATGGGTGAAGAGGTATAAACTGGTTGTTACAGAACAGTCGTGGGGATGTAAAGTGCAGCATAGGGAACATAGATGATAATATTCTAATAACTATGCATGGTGTCAGATGGGTGTGAGATTTATTGGGATGATCATTTCATAAGTTATATAATGTGTACTCACTGGGGTGTACACCTGAAACTAATATAATATTGCATGTAAACTGTAATTGAAAAATAAAAAATATTTAAATAAAGAAAAACAAAAATAAAAAAAATAACAGTCCTACTGAGGTATAACTGACTGTAGGGAAGAACAGACAGTCCTGACACCATTATCTTCAGAAAGGCCCGCGTGCCAGGCTGACGCTCGGCTGGCATCTGAAAACCTCGCTTTTGAAGTAATCCCTACACTGATAAAATTGTTTTGTCCGCCTAGAGAATTAAAACCTGCTTTCCTTTGGGAATCCGAAGCACTGGTGGGCGGGGCATGCCTGTGTGGCCAGACTCCAATAAAAGCCCTGACTCTTGCGTGGACTTCCCCGGGCATCAACACTGCATACCAAGGCTGCATATTTGCTGGGGGCAGGCGCGCTCCATGTGATGCCTCCTGCGAGGGAGAGGACACGGGAAGTGTGCTCGCAGAAGCCTCCAGACCTTTCCTGACGTCCTTCCGCCTCGTGCACGTGGCTGTGTTTCCTTACCGTGTCACTGTGATGTTAGTCCTCAACGTTATTTTGTTCAGCTTGGTTTAGTCTGAACTTTGAGGAGATGCTGCAGGAACTTAACTCTTGTCTCTATCAACTAGCCTTTGGCAAAAATGTTTTTCTTATACATGATTTTGCTTAGTCACAGAACCTATCAAAGACGTTCAGAGAGGACTTACTGCACAGCTAACTACATGCTGAGCTCTGTGAGTCCTAGTAAATAATCTAACAGGCGTGGTCTTGGGACCCCTGAAAAATGCAATATAATTGGATACATTGGGACATATGTATATATAGCCATGAAACCATCACCACAGGAAGATGATGTGCATCTCTGTCACCCCCGGTTTCTTTGTGCCCTTTTATGAACCAACCCTCCCCCACTCTCTCCACACCCCCGACCCCGGGCAGCCACTCCTCTCCTTTCTATCACTACACATTGTTCGCACTTCACAGGATTTCATATGAATGGAATCATACCGTGTATACTCATTTTTTTAAGATTTGCCTTCTTTTGCTCAGCATAACTATACGGTTACTCATCCACGCTGTGATGTGTAACCATAGTTCATTCCTTTATATTGTCAACAGCATTCTATTGCATGGATGTGCCACAGTTTGGTTTTTGTTGTTGTTTGTTTTTGATTTTTAAAAATCCATTCACCTGTTAGTGGACAGTTGTTTCAAGCTTTTGGCTATTGCAGATAAAGCTGCTATCATATTGTGTACAAGCCTGTGTGGACTTTTTTTTCCTGATAAATACACAAGAGTGGAATGGCTGGATCATATGATAGGTATACATTTAACTTTTTAAGAAACTGCTGACTTATTTTCCAAAGTGGTTGTGCCATTTTACATTCCCACCAGCACTTACGAGAGTTCCAGTTGCTCCCACATCTTCACCAACACTCGGTACGGTCGGTGTGTAGTTCTGGTCATTCTAATAGGTACTAGTAGTATCTCACCATGGTTTTAATTTGTATTTTGCTGATGACTAATGATGTCGGGTATCTTTTCATATGCTTATTTGCTACCTGTATTGCTTCTTTGGTAAAATATTTGCTCAAACCTTTTGCCTATTTTTAAAAATTTACTGCTTATTTCCTTATTATTGTTGTTTGAGAATTTTTAATATGTTCTGCACACCTACATATAAACCTTCTCTCAGATATATAAGTATCTTCTCCCAGTCCATGCCTCACCTTTTTATTCTCATAATAGTGACTTTTGAAGAACTGAAACTTTTAATGTTCAAGAACCCCAATCCACCAACTTGTTCCTTTATGGATTGTGCTCAGTGTCACAGCTGAGACAGCTATGCCCAACCCAAGTCACAGGTTTTCTACTCCTTTCTAGAAGCACTAGAGTTCTAGGTTTCACGTTTAGAGTATGATCTACTTGGGCTAATCCGTTTACATGGTATGTGGGACTGACGGAAGCTTTTTTCTGCATGTGGAGAGTCAATGTTCCAATGGCACCTAATTATGTCAGATGACTGGGCTGCCTTTGCAACTGTCAAAAATCAGTTGTCCTATGTGTGTGAGTTTATTTCTGGACATTCTCCTGTGATTTACTGGTCTGTCTGGTGATTCTGATGCTATT